CCGCCATGCTACCTTGGATAAAACGGCCATCACTACAGTATCTGCCCCACTGATATACTATTTTAAAGGAAACTTTTTTCCACAGATCAAAAAAGGAAGAAGAAAAAGTCCTGAAGAACATTACTGATAGAAAAATAACCCCATACTAAAACCAACCAGAAGACAGAGTTGGCAATCTACTACACAAGCAATAAGATTGCCAATATGCTGACGAATAACTCTCCCAACACCAAGTTGAATACTGTACCTTGAAAAAGATGAATGCCATCTATGCCTTCACATTCCCACTTGGGGACTGTCAGTCCCAATGATCTCAGTATATAGGCAAGACAACACCATCTCTTTCCAGGCACCTATCAATGCACAAACAACAAGGGTCTATTGAAGATCACATATTTTCTACACTCAACTAGATCCTCACCAGAGATATCTTAACCAACAGCACCAAAATAATTGACATACAACAATAATAGATGATTAGACATTGGCAAAGCATTGTATATCAAATAAACTCAACCAACTATTAAGTCAGCTCATGCTCGTGTACATTCTGCCATCCCAAAGACTAAGGCAGATTATCCAGCACACACACTGCCCCAGCCAGCATAAGAACATAGAATTGAGACCTATTGGCCCATGCACTTAACTTCACCTCACCGTTCTTAGTTACATACGTGGACAGCCCTGTTAATTTGCATCCACTTCACCTTCACCTTTGAAAATGTTGACAAGATCAATAAAACACATTTTTTAATGTCAGACCATATAGATAGAACTGTAAAATGAACTTTGAAGAGTTGATTTTTCAACTTCCTTCTAAAGTAAAGAAGAACATAAGAAATATAAAGAAGATTTGTGCTAGAATTATTCATCTAAACCTTTCTTGTCATATTCAATATAGTATATAAAATTTCTGCAACTGCTCAAGATAGGTATTGAACACACCTTGTGTTCATCCTACAAACCAATTTTCTTTAAAAGTTCTGCTATACAACATATCTTTATCGCTCTCTCTCTCTGTCTTCTGATCGTCGATATAGGTTATTAACAGGCAAGACTGAGAAAGCAAAGTATAAGAAAAGAAACCTGTCACTGCCCAAAATGCCACTGACTGCGAGATGACTGATGGTCTGTATTAGCAGTAGCATTAATCCCTTCATGACTTTTCTGCCGGTGACGTCGCAAGTTGCTACGGTCAGCTGACTGGTAAGGGCAATGAGGGCATGAAAAGGGTTTGTCTCCAGTGTGAGTCCGAACATGGCCTTCCAATAGATCCTTCCTGGCTGTCTTGTAAGGACACACTGGACAGGAGAAAACCTTATAGGAGCCTGCTGTCCGCCCATGTTCCCTCGTAGAGCCCTGAGATCCACTGCTCCCAGGAAACTTCAACCCTCTGACTGCACCGCTGCCAGCCATCACCTATAGAGGAAGAAGACGTCAGCAGGACGAAGAGGTGGTTATGATGTTGTAGTGGAGTTGAGTAGATATGAGGTGCATATCCACAACCTTGGAATTTTCAAAGATGATCGATGCTTAATATTTCTCACATAGGATTTTAAAGCATATATATAAATTTGATATGAAATTCATATTCTAATAAAATCAGTATAATAGACTGGTAGAAAATAAATACAAAAGTAAAATATTTACTGTATCTTTTAGAGTAAATTTTTTGTTATTCCAATTCTACAATTAGATTCTATAATTAACTGAATTTTAAAAATTTAAAAATTAATATAAATTATGTGTAGTGTACTGTATATGTAAACATTTAAAATACTCCCTAAATATTTTATTACTGTACATAAGACTCTTGATGCCAAAAGCAATATACCAGCTATGAAAAGTCCCCTCGAACACTAACAAAACAATGTTCTTCTGGATCTGTAGTTAGTTAGTAATATTTATGGAAGACCAAATTAACTGTTAAGCCACTCTGTCAAATAATATTACAATTGTCTATAGATGTAAGGACTGAAACAAAACACCTAACAATATTGCATTCATTATTCCCTTATACACTGTACTTACATTTATAGTGGAAAAGTATAATATTGTATTAAAATTTATTCAGTTACACTAATAGGGTTAATCATATCTCCTGAGGATTACAATCAAATTATGAAATCTTGGTAAATCCACATTAGATTTTTCTAGATCATAAAATGAGCTATCAGTAGCCAATATTAACTTCCATAAAGCAGCGCTTTATGGAAATGACTACCAAAATAAGTGCTTCATGCAAACTTCCTCACCACTATAACAAAAACAGTCAGTCATACTACAATTTAGCAACACAAATGATGCTTCATCTTCACTGTCACAGCACTATAAAACAGTACAACGACATCCTCAGATAAATTCAGGTAATCCTTTCAACAATGCACCAAGACATTGCTTTGCCCGTGCTACTTCAACCCACATTACTTCAACAATGCATGCAGAACAGCACTTCAAAATGTCAAAAACTCTAACTTAGAATTAACAAAAACAGTGTTTTAACAACACTAAATTATAAAGGGTGCTTTATCACACTATTACTGTATTAAGAGCAAAGGTTTTCATACTGATTTAGTACTGTACTTGGACAAAGGTGAGTGGAGCTTACAATGATGTGAGGCACTTTACATTGACCACTAAGCCTTTATAGTACTGCATACCATATAACATCTCAATTGGAATGAGTTGTATCAAGAATAGTGTATCACTCTCTAGTTCAATGCATCATGAGGAATGCTTCATTCAAAATTAATTCAAAATTGTATCAAGATTAGTGCTTCACTCACACTCCATCAATACTGTACTGTATCAAGATTAATGCTTCATTCACACTCCATCAATACTGAACTGTATCAAGATTAATGCTTCATTCACACTCCATCAATACTAGTAATTACCTAAGTGTAATTACAATACTGGATCAAGATTTGCACTTCACTCACACTCTATCAATACTGTATCAAGATTGGTGTTTCACTCTCACACACTCAAATAGGTATCAAGATCAGTGCTTCATTCATACTCCTTCAATTCTGTATTAATATCATTGCTTCACTCTCACACTCCTTCAATTCTGTACCAAGATCAGTGCTTCATGCACACTCTCTCAATGCTTTATCAAGAGAAGTGCTTCACTCATACTCTTACAAAACTTTCAAGAGAAATGCTTCACTTACATTCCTGCAACATTCATCAGAAGTGTTTCATTTGTACTACAACTGTATCAGGCACTCAACTTTGTATAAAAGTGTTTTATTTATAATTGCACTGTATCAGAAGTGCTTCTCTCATACTGCATTAAATTGTTTTATAACAAGTAAAGTACTTCACTTGTAATAAATCTTCAATGATGGTATCTTTCAGTCACACTACTGTATTATAAGTAGCTTCAAAACTCCATAGTTTTGAAGATGAATAACTCAAAAGTGCTTCATTCATACTAACACTAGTAACAAAAATATTGTACAACTAAACACTATCAGTTTTGTAATACAGTAGTTCGATGCAGCAGCTTAAAAAAATATTATCTACACTTTCAGAATCTATAAATTGCTATTCTTAATGATTTTAGGACTTCATTATTGAACACATTGCAGTATGCTGTATTATTTTCTACATATTTTGGTTTTATATGGTTTCATACAAGAACTTTTTCTTGGATTTTCCTAATTTGGTTTAGTCCATGATGAGTAATATATTATCCACACAATCCCATTGCTCAGATCTAACTTCCTTAGTTTGCTAAGCGATACAATTTTAGTCAATACTGTACTGTATATTAGGATATAGCCAAGACACTGTTTAGCATCTTCATGTGCATATTGTCTCTAAATACATAACTTCAAGTATGAGACAATACTTGCCAAGAAATAAAAACTGCTTTATGGAACATAAATTTATTCAAATCATATATTGTACATATATCAGACTAAGAAATAAATGTTATCCACATTTTTAGCCAATTGCTGTTAAACTCAAGGTATAATAAAAAACTTTTTTCAGTGCTATTGGTGAAGTGGGAATCAGCCTGTTGCAAAGGACACAAATGAAAATAGTAAACCATCTCTTAATAATATAAAATAAAACATTTTTGCTAAAGTTATGTTTTCTTATGCCTTACTGCATTGATAAGAACATTCATCATGTTTGATGAATATATCTATAATAACTACATGTTATCCGATGTGACAACATGTCCTGTTTACACTTTCTGTGTTTACACTTTCTGCAGTCTTCGATCATCACAGAAAAATAGGTAGCAACCAAAACATTTTTGTTACAACATTTTCACCGAGTAAAGACATATCCTACGCAGTAAATAACACTCCAATTTTCATCAGTACCAGTTATTCATTTATATTTCAAAGATGATGGCCAATATGGCCATTAACATGTTAATAGATATCATTAGATAAACAATATTTATGTACTATACTCTAACGCAAATAAAGATCTGAATTGAAATTAGTTTTAATATTCCATAATTACGAAGGTTTATTAATGGGCAAGTACAACAAGTTATTATGTCATTACTGGGGACCTAATGTCTGTTTTAAACAAAATTGTCATCACACTTTTGGCTAATTTAACTGAAGCACTCTGAAATACTTTGCCCTTCCACTGTATTACTGTATTGATGGTATCACCACGCATACACTGATTGCTTTATGGCTGATGTGAACTCAACATTACATTAATGTGTAAAAGGCAGCATTAATAGGCAGGTTTCTTTGGATGTTTTGTTTTAATTATTATGTGTATGAATTATCTGTAGTCATACAAGTGTTTTACACCTTTAGCAAATTGTGGAATAATAATACTGTACATGAAATGAGTGAAATGATTATTTGCTGATTTAACTACTTAACACAAATTAAACATTTGAGAAGAAACATTAACTTTATGAAAGTAATTGTCAAAAAAGGAGTCAAATCTCATGGAAATACAATGGAAAAAAAAACACGTAACTGTGTAACCCAGTACAGTATATGATTTTAATTTTATTGTGGTGAAGGTGAACAGGAAGCTGTAGTTGAAAAGTCTGTGTTAGAAGGGTTACATGATGAAGCCAAATCAGTTGAAGTAGTATTATTAGAAGCAGGCGAGTATGCAACAACGGACTGAGAGGATGCTGGTATCTGGTTTAATGTTATTTGAGATGAAGTGTTTGAGAGTGAAGATAAATGTTGTGTGGAGAGTGCTCTGGGTGAGGCATTAAGAAAGTTTGCAGAGGGTGGCAGCTGGTGTGAAGGAGTTTGAGAAGGTGTATGTTTCCTTTTAAGGTGTTCTTTTAGGTGATTTCTTCGAGTAAATCGACTGTTGCAGCGGTGGCACCTGAAGGGCTTCTCCCCCGTGTGTAATGTGAGATGTCGCTGCAAGTAGCTGGGGAAGGCGAAGGTGCGAGGACAGTAGGGGCACTGACGGCCACCAGTCTCTCCAGTCAACATTCCCGCTGCCATGGCCTGGTCTAGGGCGCCCTATGGGAGAGAGACACCATTAGCCGGGCAGAGAGGATGATGAATGAAGAATGCAGGCCTGTTCAGTGTCAAAACAGTTCCCTTGTGCCTGACATTTCCTTCCAAAATGTGATTTTTATTCAATAATCTTCATATTTTTTAAAGTCTCCATGCAAGAAATGAAACACTTAAGCTCAATCCTTAATGCTGATTATAAGTAACAAGTTAGGAACTATGATGCACTTAGTAGTCATGACTATCCAAAAGTCTCAGACTAGCAAATACATTATTTTAAGTTGTCTGAGGGCTAAGACTTTCCTTGTATGGGTGTGTTATAGTTAAGGAAATAAAACAGATTTTGCTAATTATTTTTATTGGTAACTTATTTATGTAGTAATACAGTACAAATAATTAAGGCAACTTATAAAGAGCAATCAATCCTGGGTAAACAGCAGTAATGATGATTCAGCTAACAATCCTGAATGAACTCCTTTGTGATATTTCCACACCGAGTTCTCACAAGTTTAGTTAAAGAGTTACTTACAAATGGATACTGATACTGTAGATGAAAGATGAGAGATGTTGAAAATGGCAGTGAATGCTAGTGGCAAAGGTAATACAGTATCATCACTAAGATATTAGTGATGATATTACTATTATCTGAAGTGTAGTAGTGTAGTGAGTAGTTCTCACTACAAATATTTATTCTATCAAACTCAATGAACTTAAGAGATATTTCCCCAAAATATATTGTTGCTAATTACGATAGCATACTAGTTTCTCAAGCATTACTATACTGAAGACAAGAAATTTCCAACATGGGTATAAGCTGCCAATGCAAAACACACAAAATATTGTACTATGGCTAAATAATGATGAAAAATGTAAGAAACGTAACAGATGAGTCCAGACATAACCATGACTGATCTTGAACCAGCCTATCATATTGTTCACATTTACATAAATTATTATCTTCACTAAGGAAGCCTACGTTTTACCAAAGTCAATTTAGACTTTGATCTACACCACTTTGATCTACAGTATACTTGAAGCCCGACTCTCAACGTACCTCAACCACTTGACCTAGAGTTGGTGGATAGCCTGACCAATAACCATGTATAAAAAGACTTCACAAGACACTTACAGTACTACCACACTTGCTCATGGTACTGAAACGCATTCTCTAATCAAAGGCTTATGTATGCATAGAAAATAAGTATGGTATGGTATGCACAAATTTTATGTTGCGATAAATATATTCGGCAAAACCTATTTTTATGGACAAAATGTGAACGCGAAATAATAAACTACCGGTGACAAAAAATAAACCTTTTGTTACAGTTATTTCTACTTTAATAAAAAGAAATATCACTCCATATGAAATTGCAACACTGTCAGAACTATCAGTGTTAGAATGTTTCCAAGATGTGAGCTGCTTCTTATCTACTTCACACCTCTTGACAGCAACTCAAGAAAACAGGGTCCCATTAATGATCACTGCATACATTTTCTTACTTACATATCATTATGAACATCTCATAAGCTTAAAATAGCCAAATCTAAGAAAAATTATTAGTTTCTATGCAATGTAAATTATGTAGTTCTAAATTGCAAAACAATGATTTCAACTAAATTTGACAAGAAGATGTTGGGAAGTTTACTGAGATACATACAAACTCAATTCTTTAATACAATACTCTAAATTGTATTAATCAAATGATTAACTGAAATTTTGGGAACCATGTGTCCTTTATTTTAAAACTTTTTATTATTTTTTTCTACTTACTAATGATTGTACAGTACAGTACAGAATATGTCAAAATTCTATGCTGCATTATTTTATGTTATTCATTAGAATCTTAGCAGCAGCAGAATTTCTTAACTTTGCTGTCTGCTATTATAAATATATATACCAGGGTCCTAATATATTGTATTGTACTGCATTGTACAATACTGAGGATTCACTCAGGATTCACTGAGTGAATCACTGAGGATTCCCAGAATATATAACTCGTATGGATTGACTGCATATCATGTCTAATATTCAGCGACCTAAATTGGCTTATATTGGTGAACTTTATTTTTTTTGTTTCAAAAATTTTGGGTGTGATTAGATGCAAGAAGTCTGGACTCATTGGAAGGTCTGGTTTCTTGCAGGTCTGCATTTGATCCCAGATGGTTCAAGTGGTTGGAGATTATTCCTTCCCTCCATACTATCCCAGATCCTTGTCTTCATATCCCTTTCCAAGTGCTATATAGTCATGTTGGCTTAGCACTTTCTCCACATAATTACATTACCTTAGATGCAAGGAAGCTAAGAAACATAAGAGCTAATCCTAAGGAATTTTTAATAAATATTTTATAGAGAATCCCCATAACTATTTCCTAAGCTTTTCCCAGTTCTTTCCGACTCCATCTCAATCCCGTGGGAGCGAATTAGATGCCGCTTGAGGTTGCCCTTCAGTGCTGTACGGAATGTACATATATTGCAGGCGAATGGCTTTTCTCCAGTGTGTGTACGAAGGTGACGTCTCAGATCGGATTTTAAGCCAAATCTCCTGAGGCAAAATGGGCAATGATGGATAATTCCTCCCATACTAAAGTCCGTAGAGGCAACACCAGCTGGCACATCCGAAGCTGAAGACACTCCAGGAGGAACACCCAAGATGCTCATCAGCCCCACATCGCCAAAACGTCCGCAACTGCCACCTCTTCCCTAAAACAGGGAAATCATCACATTCACTCACATTGGACTAATATTCCCATTCTTATTTCAACTTTATCTATACTGTATACAGCAATGTATATGAGAAAACATATATACAAGATGCACATCAAAATATCAGTATCATAAAAAAAATCCATTAAAGAGTACACTTACTATTCAACTGGTAATTCTAAATGAATGACATCTTTTAAGTAATGTACATCCTTAATACTTTAGAAAATAAAGGTCAATTCATAAAGCAAAGCTCTAAAATAAACAGTCCCCAAGATATGAAATATTACTAAGAACAGTAGAGGCTCTCGGGAAGCCAGGCATAGTTTTAGATAAATCAGGTTGACTTATTTAATTGTGAAGCCTTTGGCCTTGGATACAAATGAGCCATATATTTAAATGCTGTAAGTTTATTATTTGAACAGCATGAAAAAAATTTGCTTTCAAGGGCGTGAATCAGCGGAAACCTGAACATTGGTTCTTTCTCTCCTTAAATCAATAACAACAATTTTGATACAGCCTATAGGATAGTAAATAAAGAGTATGGCATAAAAGGTATATTCAGTATAAAAATTCTACATGTAATAAAAAATCAACACTTATTATAATTCACAATCTTTAATAAAAATACTGTTCTTTATGACATTTTTAGTCCTGTATTCATGAGTTTGATCACTGAAGAGGTAAGTCTTATATCTGGCAGTCAGGGAGAAACAAACTGACACCTGCTCTTGTTCTTGTTCCTTGGTACAAGGAACCTTGGTACCAAGGAACAAGACCTTGGTACCAAGGAACAAGACCTTGGTACAAGGAACCTTGGTACCAAGGAACAAGACCTTGGTACCAAGGAACAAGACCTTGGTACAAGGAACCTTGGTACCAAGGAACAAGACCTTGGTACAAGGTTCCTTGGATATCTGTCATATCTTTCATGTGCACTTTACGAACTCATCAGTTAATGAACTGTTTCTTGAAATTAATAAATTTTGCACTCTGTAAAAATATAATACTGTAACTTGTATTTTTGGGGCAAATTTGACTGTCTTAAAAATGAAATATTGAATGTAATAAAACGTCCTTTGCTGGTGGGTCACAAGTCAGCCCGTCCTCCTAAGGTTTCCCAACGGTCCTTTAAAGTATCCTTTCCTAACCAACCAGAGGACCCAAAACAGAAAACGGGACAGTATGTCACTTTTGCAAGCTGCTTCCATTTTCTAGTACAACAATTTTTGGCCTTATGTAACACATACGATTGAAATGCAATGTTCCTTGTAGAACAGGTTGCCCAAATAGCTTCAAGAGGTTAACTCTAGTACAACTAAACCTTAGACAAACACACCAGGCTCCTAGGATTAATCCATCTCCTACTGGAAGCAGGGACCAGAATATGGTTCACTCAACAAGTCAAGGAAGCAAGAAAATTAGAGACCAACCACAAAACCTGGGAAAAAAACAACCAGAAAACTTAGGGGCACTAAAACAAGTGACTGTCTGAAAGGAAACAAGACAAGCAATTGTTGCCATAGGGTAAATATCCTTTCCTTGATGCACCCTACTGCCTCCAGATGGCAACCCAAGTTACTCAGGGTCTCAGTCAGTGTTACCATAACCTAGAGCCACCCATGCCAAGACCACTAATTTCACAGCATAAATGGAAACATGGTGTGGGCGGGAATCTTCTGGGAGCCCACAAGAAAAAGGAATTTCATTTCAGTCAATGCTTGATTTCTGAGATGGGCCTCTCATTAGGTCTCCAAGTTTACTCAGTACTGGAAAACAGAAAAGGCAGATTGGGTTTATAAATGGGAGAACTGCTGGCGAGGAAGGCCTTGGGCAAAAGTACACCAGCTGTACACCAAATGCCCAAGTGCTGTGAGGCCAAGGGACATTCAATAACAAACAAGGGGTTAATATCAAAGGAATAAAATTCCCACTTCAGGAGAAGAACAGGAAGCTTTCCAACCCAACAGGCAGAGGGAGAAATAGAAAAGTGAAGAAAGGACAAGAACACCTTCACACAATTCAAAGATCAAAAGGCTGTGGGAGGGAGTGTGAATTGGTCAGAGATGAAAGAACACTTGAGACAGCTGGAGATGAGAAAACACCCATCATCTTAAAGAAAGCTAGAAAAAGAAAACAAGGATACATCCCCCACCATATGTAACAGAGGGCCTTTGCTTTGACCAAATGTTACAAAATGACAGTACAGGCATCAATTGACAAATCAAGACAGAAAGGGCATTCCCCAAGGATAACGGACAGTTAACAGGGAGAAACAGCTCATCACCTGCTGAGTGGAACAGGTAGCAGTCCCTCCAAAATACCACACACTGCTATTGCAAAAAAAGGAAGATGCTAAGAAACTCTACACAATACAGTACATGAAAATTGATGGAGAGCCTCTACTGTCAAAGTAGGGTGTGCTGCTGAACCTAATAGGACAGGTGGAGTCTCAGAAAGGGAAGGGGAGACTGTTGAAACAATGGGCGAACTAGAATGGGAACCAGGGAAGAGTACTGGAAAGTTTGTAAGTATAAATGCCCCAGGTATAATAACTAAGAGGAAGTGCTCAAGAAATGGATTTTGCTCTGTGTTGATACCACTAGATAAACACCAAGCTCAGATCTGTTGCAGTAAGCAGACAATTAAACAAGTTATCATAAAAAAAGCAGTAACATAGCTTATAGTGTATAGCTTTATAGTGCCATTCAAGCTATGGGTAAAACCAAGGTACCATACTGTGAATACTTATATGCTACTCAAGATGCCTATATGAAAACAGAAGTAGTAGTAGTAGTAGTAGGCATCCATCAGTCTCAGGAGACTATGGAGTTGCGCTCTGGTATCAGCCTGGTCTGGAGTGGCCTCACCAGGGCGCAAAGCCAGGGTAGGTTGATTCGGGGGAGAAGCTGTTACCCAGGCAGCAGGTCCCCCCCTCTCCACAGGGCTGAAAGCCTCCAATGGAAAGGCATACGCCAATACGATTGGTTCCAGCGCCGTCACAGGAACTGAGAGTTCCAGGGATGACCTCGAAGTTGGTGAAAAAGGGAACAGGGACCTCCAACCCCGGAGACTGCCGTGAACGTGGCTGGAGAAGAACCACCCCATCAAGGGTATGAACGACCCCAGCCTCCTGAAGCAGAGCCTGGGCCACACGACCCTCAGGAGGTGGACGTCCCGCACCGATGGGTTCCAGACAAAGTTCGTCAGAGCCCCCTTTCACCCAAGGCTGGCCTCCTTCAAGACCAAGTAGAAGGAAGTGATAATTATTAAATACAACAATTATTATTATAATAATTATATAATAATAATATATATATTTAATAATTATCCAAAGCAGAAGTACTGTACAGTGTATAAGCTTAGTTATAATAAATAAATCCCATTCACTGCTAAGTGGTTCTAACGTATGATTTAAGATTGGGTATATCCCAATATACCCAATTTAAGGAGATTGACGGAGAAGATTTTATGGTTATTTCATAAATCTGTGCCTTCTATGAAGTGTGTGACAGTTTACAAGACAATTTTGGTAATAACGGCCAAGTTTCCTTTCCATTAGTTCTGCATCACTAATAAGGACGAGGTTTCTCATTTTCAGTTTTGATGATATGAAGCCGTTGAGAAATACTGTATCAGGTTTGATGTTGCATAGCTTATTAGATAAAGCTATCCATCCCTCTCTCCACTACATAAATATGGCTGAATGTATTACTGCGTAGTAATCAAGGTTTGGGAAAGAGAGAGCATATTTGAATGGCAGAATAGTCGATAATTATACGATCACGTACCCAACAAAACTACACTCGTTTGTACCAGTGAAGTTTGTTCCAAAAAACTACCTGCCTGGTGGGGTTCTGGGAGTTCTTCTACTCAAAACTATATGTGACAGATTTGATTCTTTCCAAATGAAACTACCCAAGTCCCAATTAATAATTTTCACATGTTTTAAGAACAAATACTGTACAGTATGTAGTTTTTTATTTAAGTGTATTATGATAATAAATCTACATAAAATTAAAATAATTGTTATACAGTGCAGTATAAATAAAAAGTAGATTGTAATGTACATGTACTATGTAAAGATTTTGCTTACCTTAACAAGAGTAAATGTAGTGTATGCCTTTCTTAACCATCCACTATATGCGACACTTTACAACCATTTAACCTCATAGGCACAATTTAGAAAGTATACACAGCATATGTTTCACCCTGCCTCTCATCACATCAACATCACATTTTTGCACATCAACAAAATTCACAGTTGTGTTGATGTCATCACATCAACATCACAGATTGCACATCAACAAACTGGAAAAGGTGCAAAGACATGCCTCTAAGTGGAGGCTCCCAGAACTGAAGGACAAGAGTTACGAGGAGAGGTTAGAGGCATTAAATATGCCAAAACTAGAAGATAGAAGAAAAAGAGGTGATATAATGCCTACCTACAAAATAGTAACAGGAATCAATAAAATTGATAGGGAAGAATTCCTGAGACCTGGAACTTCAAGAACAAGAGGTCATAGATTTAAACTAAGGAAACAAAGCTGCCAAAGGAATATAAAAAATATTCACTTTCACAAACAGTGGTAGACGATTGGAACAAGTTGGGTGAGAAAGTGGTGGTGGCCAAAACAGTCGGTAATTTCAAAGCGTTACATGACAAAAAGTAATGGGAAGACAGGACATCCACGAGCATAGCTCTTATCCTGTAACTACACTTAGTTAATTACCCTGCCTGTCATCACTACACAGCATACTTTCCACTCTGCCTGTCATTACTACACAGTATACTTTCCACCCTGCCTGTCAGGAAGACTGTATACTGTATACTGCCTGTCAGGTATACTGTAGTGAAGTTCCTTCACTACAGTATACTTTCCTCCCTACCTGCCATCACTTCACAGTATACTAATGCCACAATCATAATATTTTCATTCACTAATATTAATGTAACTTAGAACATTGGTTACAATAGCTATAATCTTGTCAGAAATTAAGTATTGTACACAAGTGTGAGACTGCTTTCCATATTTGGACCAAGCTGAGAACAATTTTCAGTTTCTTTTAAAGCTGTAGCAAATTTAAATCTGTATTATGATTCATTCACATATAGTAATACCATATTATCTAAATAAGTTTTTAGTGTGTAAAATCTTAAAATACAGATTTTATGAATAAATTGTTGTAAGTGTTGGCAGGCAATGAAAATCACAAATGGTTTCCTATTGTCTGGGTTAGGAATTTCATTGGACTTATCAAGGGTGTACTATGTCACCAATTTACAATACTCTGGATGTTGGACTTGTCAAGGGTGTACTATGTCACCAGTTTACAATACTCTGGATGTTGGACTTGTCAAGGGTGTACTATGTCACCAGTTTACAATACTCTGGATGTAATGCTCATCAGACACCCATATCTAGGGGACCTATTTACTGCTATACTGTACCCAGGAACTTGAGGACAATCAACTGCATTAAGATTAGTATAGGCATAGAATTTAGAAAGAAATAGCAAACAGAATAAGAAAAACAGTGTTATTGTGAAAAACAACTAAAACAAAAATAGAGGGACAGACAGGAATGGAATTTCACTCAACATAACCGATCAATGAAAGAAATAAACATTTTCTCCGTAGTTTTAAATCTTGTGAAAATTAGTCTATTTATAATTAACAAATACTGTACACAAAATTCATTCCACACATTCAAAGGATAATTACCCAAGAATATATTTTAATAACATTTATTATAATGCTTCAAATTCAGTGAGTCAGAAAAGAGGACATGAAAATAGCACAGAGAAAGAGATAGTGAAAAATAAACAATGGCATACTGAGGAAGATTAGGCAAATGGAGAGAATGAGAGATGGCAAGTGGGTGGTTTAAATATCTAAATACAGAGATGGGAACAAGCCAGGATGACACAATGAGACTATGTGAGTGAGTGATGTTAGTTATGAGAACATGGACATTTGTTACAATATAAATATTTAGAGGAAAGGCTGAAATACTCTGTGCTGGATATTAGGAAACTGTGTACTGGTATACTGTATGTAGAAAGAAATATAGCAAAAATTCTGTGTGGTCAGTAAAGGCTGCCTCTCCATTTTATGATTCACTATTAAAAATGTTCCGTATTCAACCAGCTGCAAGAAACGAGTAATTCATATGTACTTTATAATAAAAACCCTTTGAAGTGTGCTCCATAGAACTAAAATAACATAGTTCCACACATCACTAAATAAAAAAAGGAATACAATGCAGCTTTGTTAATATAAAAGCAGCACATCACAAGGTGATAGGGATGAGGGATAGTGCTTTGTTTTCCCCTGTAGTGAATTCTCTAACTCTTGTGGGATATAAATATATATTTCTACTACATAATGCACATGGAGCACGTCTCCCCACCTAATTTGGACTTTCCTCTTTCAGTCATATGTATGAAATTTTATATCTATAACATAAGGATTTCACAACTGTAATTCAAAATATATATTCATCAAAAATAATAAAAATGTATTCTTCAATATTTGTGTAAATAAAATGTCAAATATTAACTCACATTAAAAAAACAAATTAAAACAATTGAAATATCATAAAAGAACGTGAGAAGATATTACAGAGATGAGCAAGATGCAATTACTGTCTTTAAGTGAAGGGAGAGCTTTCACTAATTTAATTGTTACTATCAGCAACTAGCATTAATATATGTTTACAGTTCATTACCATATAGGGAAAAATTCCTAATTGAAACAGTGGTCACAAGTCTATAACTTGTATACTCTTACAGGTAAGCTATTGCAATAGTTCCAAATTGCTCATTTGAAACAAAAATAGAATGTAAAAGTACACAAATAAACACTTGCTACTTAGTGGATGCTACTATTTCTGAGCATAGTACAAATATTTGATTGACAAATATGTTATCTTATTCCAGTTGAAATTGCAGAAAATATTTATCACCAGTCATCATCTGGGATCTTCCATGGTAAAATTTAAATCCTAATTTTTTTATTAGCCCGAGTTTTCATAAGCATGTAATGTTTTCAGAAGTAAATTTCTTCAAATTTTTTCACATATGATCAACTGTCTGTATGCAGGAAACCAAGTTCTTGTTCATTACCAACAGCCTTAGCAATATTTTAAAAAGGTACTGTATAATTAAGGTAAGACTTGAGTTAGTTTTACATGTTCAAAAGTTAGTACCAATGGCAGTATGTTTGCTTAAGAGGTGCTTCTTTAGGCTAGACTTGCGTGCTGTAGTGTGTTCACAATATGGGCAGTTGAAAGGCTTCTCTCCCGTGTGGATTCTCAGATGACGAGTTAGGTCTGACCGCAAGAAGAAGGGCCGTGAACAAAAGTGGCAAGTGTGAAGTCCTCCTCCTGACGGTCCAGATGGTACAGCGGGTGGCAACCCCGACGGCAGCCTCGAAGGCAGAACTCCCATCCCCTAGAAGAGGAACAGCAGCTTCACAAACCACTCGTCATACCTCCCAATAATGCCAGCTAACAATTTCAAAATAAACTAATAAAAAGAATAATGAAGTCTACAATAATACTATATAATATACTGTTTATATCACAATGCACACTATAAAATATACCAACTCACAAGGTACCGAAGTTAATATACCTCATAACCTGATTAAAGCAACAGACAGACAGTACACCAAACTCATTCACTTTACCGATACATCAAACCAAGAGATGCTAACATACCCCATCACACAAGTTACTTTTACACTTACACACACACACACTAAAGATATAAAAAAAGCTCTCTTTTGCAAATACTGTAGTGGTAGACAGGACAGACAGTTGGAACAAGTTAAGTGAGAAAGCAGTGAATGCCAAAACCATCGGTAGTTTCAAAGCATCATATTACAAAGAGTACTTGGAAGATGAAACCACCTTGAACATCTCTCTCATCTTGTAACTATACTTAGGTAATTACACATACAAACACATCCACACATGCAAGCATTCACACCACACAAAAACATTTCCCCCTTACCTAAACAAAATAAACCTGATCATCTAACATAGATGTTTTCAGTCATTCTCACCACTTCCCATCGAGGGACAATGAACAAATAGAAATCCCATTAAAAAACATACAAATCAATACAACTGATAAATAAAATTGGGTTTGCCTTCCTAAATGCCAGATATGCCCATGCTGAAACAAATTAATAAAACAAAGTATTTATAAAACAAAATGGATGGCAATCCAGACCAATTAATCCTTTTCAAATATTAAGGCATTAATTAAAAAATGTAAAAAGTAATACTGTATATAATAATAATAATATGTAGCCATACAGACAAATGTTGACTAGTATATGCAGCTATCTTTTTCTCTCCATTAAACGTTTATTATAATTATTATGCAGTTAATAAACATACAAACAAATCCCTCTCATTTATCATTTATTCATATAATATCTGACTTTATTGAAAACATTTGGACATCTCTTATGGCAAACAATAGGTATCGCAATTAGTTTATAAATTATATTCATCCTTTTTTATTTAAATTTATTTAATTTATTTCCCTCTTAACACCTTGGTAATTTAACTACTGCATTGGACACAATATTTCCAATTTGTGTGTAAGCTCAAAACATTTTGTTCTCATTATTTAATTTTATTTGTTAACACTGTCTCATTAATGCGATTTACTTGATATCACTGACAAGATTGAGAATAACTCCAAAATTCTACATGTAAGAACACATATTACACCATTTGTTATCCTAACAATCTTTCAATTAAACTAATTTCCAAATACCTGAATGGCATACCTACTCTTAGATGATTCATATAAAAAAGAACTTTCTTTCCCTGTGTCTGCAATACAGGTGCATAAATCTCTAGAATCATAAGTCAAGTGGAAACTATGCATTCTCATGAATTTCAGCTACAGAATTACCTTTCAGTTTTCCTTAATTCATGGAACAGTACTAAATGAATGATTTCTTTTAATTAACTACCATCTAGAAGTTAATAAACCATGATAAATTTTTCCCATAAAGAATGTAAACCAACATTAATTCAGACAAGTTAAAAAATGAAAAAATTATGTAACAAAGTACAGTAGCATCTAAATAATGATTCAACGTAAGAAATTCTACTGTGAAGACAACCTGATCTTACAAAACAAACACACTATCACCTTGCCCAGCTGGTCAAGCAGTATAGCTGTCACACTATTCGGTGTCACTGCCTGAGGAATGAGACGTGCCACTGTCCACAGTGTCATTTGATGGACACGTACTAGATGCAACTCCTGCTACATTTTCAAGATTCTGTGAGGAATGTATTGCAGCGAGATGTGCAGTAGTAGTACTGTTCCATGCCTGAGGTACTGCATTTTCATTTGTGCCACTCGGCAAGCATCTATCAGATGAGGAGACGGGAAGATTATCACAGTCTTGTAGGGGATGAAACACAGGAATGTCTAGATCTCCTGTTGGGTTCCAGTTTTGGACTGCTGCATTATTGGTTGTATCTTGTGATGTACACACACTAGAACCTGGTAAATTTTCCTGTTCTTGTGATGGATTATATGTAGGGAGATGAGGAGTTAAAGCATTGCTCCAAGACTGAGAAGCAGCACTATCAGTAGCATCCATCGATGAACAAGTGCTTGATGCAATCCCTTGGATGCTTCCAGATTCCTTGGGAGGATGGAAACCAGAAGAATGTGCAACTTTTGTGCCACTCCATGACAGAGATGCAATATTATCCGTTGTTTCATTTGTATTGTTCCGCCCTTGTGCAGATGCTAACATATGTTCTCGCTGCAGCAGAGAAAGAACAGCTGGCAATGTTGGAACTGTTGCACTGCTCCAAGAGAAACTCTGTCCACTAGTGCCAGATGTTGATGCTTCATTTGACTGTTGTCGTCCTAAAACAAGGAGTCAGCTTTCAACCACACATAGACAATATTACAGTTTATATCAACACTAACAAATGTTGGTATTTCATGCATGTATAAGCAGGACTGTTACTGTTCAATTTATAGTAAAAATGATCAAAATATGATCAAGTGGCTTTCATTAATATTGTGCTTTTTATATTACAGTATTACAACAGAAGACCAATCAACTCATGCAAGAAAGTCATTCTTAAAAAAGTGTGAAGGTATACTGTACTTTAGATAAGACAATGTCCTAACTTAAGCACAAAATGGAACCAAAGATGTGACAATGCTAATAATCCTAGAATGATTATAGCTCAAGACAACAGCAATACTGAGCTTGTCTGGATTATCATCCAACACACCTTGAACAGCCTCCATATTAATGCCTTGCTCAACGACATTATGACGACTGATGAGATGCTTCTTGAGGTTGTACTTGATGGCTGTGCTGTGCTCACAGTAGGGACACTTGAAGGGCTTCTCGCCAGTATGTGTTCGTAGATGTCGGGTCAAGTCAGATCGCAGGAAGAATCGTTTTGGGCAGAAGGTACACTGGTGACTGGCCCCGAGGGAATGACCAGCCAGTGCTCTGGCCCACACCGTTGTCTTGCCTCCACCGCCCTAAAACACGGACACCAATTTTAGGGAAAAAATCTTCAAAAAATGTACACTTGGCCAATCTAGTGCATTCCTTCTAGGAACCCTCTTGGATAAAACTGAATTAAAATACAATGATTATTCTAACTTTAAATTTGTAAGTGAGAACATACAGATTTCATAACCAATTCTGCTGTATTTTGCACAGATGAATGCACCTCTTAAAAAATGTCTTTCCAGCCTAGGTGTACATATTTTGATGTTTTACCCCTCTCTGCCACTCAATACACAATCATTCAATAGAAATACAACATTCCACACATACATACCAATATAAATCACATCTGTAGGTGTTATATTCTTTGCATGAGATGCTTATACAAAATTAACTAGGAAAAATTACAATATATTTATTATTTGTGATAATTTTTATATGTAATGCATTAAACTAATTTTTTTATAAGCAGATACAGTACTTTTTTGTTTAATTTGTCATAATATAAGCATGTAAGGGGTACACCAAAGTAGCACAACTGTCACCTTTTATGTGATAATCATGTTAAAAATTTAAACTTGTACGAGAACAGAGCATAACAAAACAAGTGTTTACAAGACATTTACGTTCTTCAATGCAAGCCCTGAAAACTGAAATTTTCTACTGTATCCCTGCTATCCCTCTTCCCCCAACACTCCATTCTGCAACAATACTAACCGACCCATAGCCTAAACTGTTCTATTTCCTCTTGGGAGCGTCCCATCAGGTGGCAGCTACAGCAAAACTCTCTGCAGGAAGCTCTACCATATTACTAAAACTTTCAAGCTCTTTACCCTCCTCTTAACTTTTTTCAATGCTATTTCATTTTCCCTTTCATGATACTGTACTGGTCCTCTTCCTCTGCTCTATGATACTTTTACTTCACTCTAGTATGCTTATGTCATTGAACAATTCTCAGCGATTCGGTTAGCATGTCACTCCTATCCATTGCATTGCATTTCATCCAATCTATCTTTAATTCTCTCACACGTACACATGCTAAGCTATACCCATCACACATACAACTAGCTGCACCTATATAAACAAATAATTTTGGCTACTTGTACAGTACTCTTCAGCAATTTGCCTCTTTCCAAACTCAGTTACCCAGGATACTCCGGTATGAACATTCCTTCCTAGTATTAAACTATTCACTTCTCCCACTCATTTCACCTTCAATATTCCCATCTTTTTTTAATTTATCATTATCCCCCAGATATTAAAACTTGCAACTTTTTCAACTACCGTATTTGTTCCTATTTTCACCATACAGTTCAAATTGTTCTTGTCTCTCCACTTTTATAGAAATCTAAAAAACCAGTAAAAACCCATTTCCTTCTTCACACCATCAACAGTAGATAAAAAAACAAGTCAGTAAGAACTACCGGTACTCTTCACCACACAGTCCACTCCCACTTCAAGAATTCTTTCCTTTACCTCCCTATATATATATATTAAAGAGCCTTAACCCTTTGTGCTTCTCATGCCTTCAACCCTTAATCTCTTACGTTTCGATCAATAATACGTTTCTGGGTTTTTGTATTAAAACAATGGTACAGGTACAGTATAGTTCTGGAATGATGTTAATGAGATTGCATTGTTGAACTGCTGAAGTGCAAGAGTAAAATTAAGAAACAAATCAAAAAGCTATTTGAGAAGTTACTTTTGTTTACAAGAGCAGTTATAGTTTGTGTTGTAAACTTGAAACTGAAATTATGTAAGGAGAAAGTCCTGAAAGTTTGAGATATAAAGCAACATGCATTTACTGCAAAATAATTGCAGAGAAAGGTACTTTGAAAAGAATGATTAAAATTATATTATTCATGCTTTTTATATGTATTTAGGTAAACTATGCAAAAGTTGCATTGCAATACAGCTCAATCTAATTTGGTTTACATCAATCCTCTCTACAACCTGAAGTGATAGATATTTGGGTTGGGAAAAAGTAAAAGGTAACAAATATTCGGTACATAAGCCCCCCTGCTGCATGAGGTCAACTATACGTTGGTTAAATTACTTTTAGTTTTATGTTGCTATGGTGACTAATTGTATCTTGAGGGAGCACCAGGAGTAGTTCATGAGATTCACCACGACTTCTCTTAAATTTTTGTTGCTATTATTATGTTTCCGTGGATTCCACAATCCCAGTGTTAACTGCAAATGCAGAGTAATGTATAAATCAGGTATTCATGTTTAATATACCGGTATACAGTACTGTATTCACTTAAAAGTGCATCAGTCTTCTTTAAATCTGAACTTTCACACACTGTAGATAATCCAAACATTAGTAAACATATTATACCACCAAGTATTTTCATAACTATTGCGTATAATAGATATAACGCTCTCAATGTATATCGAGAAATATTCCATTATACAGAGAAAATGTATTGAAATAAAAGACCAATTTATAGCATTTGAAATGTAATATAATTGAATAGATACATTATAACAAACAAGTTCTATGCTTCTACTACTAACATTTGAAAGTCACTGTACAAATCCATTACAGAATACATTTTAACAAATTTTAAAATATTTCCATGTAACCATACCAAGATATTTACGTTTGCCAATTACATATTCTTTAGTACTGTAACAGGAACAGTAATATTTTTATCCATAATAATTAGTAATAAAAACTATGTACAAAATTGCCCATCATCCTCATCTTCATTACTACTTGCATTACAGTAAATCAATTTTATACATAAAGTTGTAAAAGAACTTCAGTCTTGAAACATGGTAAAATTCACTCTCCATGGAGGCATAAAACTTACAATATTCCTTCAAATCTTTTTATCTATGATCATTTAGGTCTGCTAATGCATTACTGCTGCTTTCACTCATCCATTGCTGCTAGCCAGAATTCCAAATAATTATTAATATGTCTCACTTGAAAGTTTCCATTATCTAAAAATGTCAGAATATATTATGCATATTTACATATCTTCTTTGACCCTTTTCTTTTAACTTCTGATTCTTGTTTAAACCTCACTTTCTTATTTACCAAGACTTGCATCTTTCCAGAATGATTTGTTTTACTAATGGTATTTAAATTTGCAGTTTTATTTCTTCTCACCTAATTATAACTTCATATATACTCACAGAAATCACATTAGTATGATGCATCAAATAAACAAATCCACAAGGGCCGTTATGAGGGTTCAAACTTACGACGGGATGATCCCAGACACTGCCTTAGTCGACTAGGCCAGAGCCTGAGTGCATGGAGGAATTGTGTAAAACCCTGGTTTGTGTCTCAGAGAGGCTGTAGGATCCGTGTGAAGTCAGTTGAATTCCTGGTTGCAATTCTTTTCCATGTCGTGGCCTAGTCGACTAAGGCAGCGTCTGGGATCATCCCGGGCATAAGTTCGAACCCTCATCACAGCCCTTGTGGAATTGTTCATATATACTGTACTGTATTGTGCAAAATAACCAAAGTGAAATTGGAAAAAAAAAAAAACCAGCTGGAGCATTCTTTATTGCACTGCCTTTCTGGGATACAAAAAGGCAGTGCAGTAGTTGTAAAGGAAGCGCGTATTGGGAGCAGAAGTAATAGCCAGAGAGGCGGTAAAACATTGAACGGGATCGCCCGTTCTTGTGTAAACATATGAAGCTCCAAACGGGAACCATGGATTAAGACAAGAAGCAGAAGTGTGAGAACCAAGACAGGCACCTGGATATACAGTATTAAGAAAACAAACACCAGAACAAGGATGCCTCAAACTACAACATTTGAATAATCACAAAGTGAGAAATGTAAGCTTAATCTGAACATAAGTTTAATCTGAATTAAGAAGAATCTCAATCAAATTCAAGTAAAATCAATATTACCCTTTCTACTTTTTTTTGGTACGGTATTCTGATTTAATGTCCAAATCAGTAAATTACTTTATATATACAGTACAGTACTGCATATGAAATATGATAATTAACTTTCATTCTTATTAAAGCTCTACTCTTCCTTCTGAGATGCAGTCCATTCACGTGATGCTTCATAGTTGCTGGATGGCGCTGCGACGGTCTTGCTTCATGTAGATCGGCGTTCAATCCCAACCATCCAAGTGGTTGGACACCATTCCTTTCCCCCATCCCATCCCATATCCTTATTCTGACCCCTTCCAAGTGATGTACAGTACAGCTGTAATAGCTTGGTGCTTTCTCATGATAGTTTCCTTCCCTTCCATAGGTATTAGCAAAGCAAACTTATCATTACTCTCCTAATTATGTAGTTCTATCCACTGTAACTGTGTCATTTATTATTAATAATAAAGCTTAAAGAAATATACTTCCATATTTATCCCTTACAATTCAACATAATACATTATTAAGAACATCCCATTATCATCTGAGTATAGGTATATCTTATCTGATTATAAGTACATATCAAAGGCTTAAGCTGAAATTATTTAATCATGTTTTAGTAGTACATTGCAATGTACCTATCAAAGGTGCTATGAACATTGAAAAATGAAACACATCAAGGTGAGATATACAAAATCTTCCTATAGCAAATTTGAAGAAATGAAACTTGTATTACCCATATTTTAGGTCAAAACTTATTGGCCAAGAGTGTCATATGAAATACAGTACCATACTGTAAAAGGTGTCTGGATCATATTATATCATCACGGCCTACATTTTAACTCTCTTTGAATCAAAGGAACTTTCATGTCAGAATCGTGTAGTTTAGATGAGAGCTATGCTTGTGATGTTCCGTCTTCCTATGACGTTTTGAAACAACTAACGGTTCTGACATCCATCCCCTTCTCACTTCACCTGTTCCAACCATCTACCACTCCGTTTGCAAAAAGAGAACATCCTAATATTTTTTCGGTACCTTCGTGTACTTAGCTTGAATCTATGGCCCCTCTTAATTTTGAAGTTGCAGGTTTCAAAAATTCCTTTTGTCTATTTAATCAATTCTTGTTAATATTTCGTAAGTAGTGACCATGTTGCCGCTCTTCCTTATTTTCTAGCTTTTGTA